ATAGTAGTCACGTGACTCGCTGACGCAACAATATTATTGATGTTACTTTCCACTGGCACATTCTTACATCAGAATATTCTTGGTGTTACTTTCCACTGGCACCTTCTTACTCAGAGTATTCTTGAGTTACTTTCCACTGGCACTTTCTTACACCGGGATATTCTTGAGTTACTTTCCACTGGCACATTCTTACAACACGGTTTTGTTAGAGTGACTTTCCCCTTTCGCTGACTACTAGTAGCACTATGATATTATGGTAACCACATGACTATATTTTGTGCTCTATTTCTCAAGTCAAATTAGGATATCACTTTTTTACTATCAAAACATTTACGATCAAATGAATATCTATATTGCAACAGCACATCTTTAAATACAGAATTTCTAAAAATAATACAAAATAATTCTAATTAGAGACACCGAAATCTATAAGTCGACTTGTCTTAGGCCTAACATTAGTTAAGCCCTTATTAAGTATGGCCTATCAATAAATAAACATTTAATTATTATTCTACAACTTAACAATAGACTTCTTTAAAAACTTTGATAAGCTTTAAAAATATTCCTGTAAAAAACGTCGACCCAAGAATATATACATCCGCCCGACGAGTGTCCTAGATAAGGATAAGTTTGTCCTAGATAACAGTCGTTACTAAACTTTAACCACAGACGAGTGTCCTAGATAAGGATAAGTTTATCCTAGGTAACAGTCGTTACTAAACTTTAACCACAGACGAGTGTCCTAGATAAGGATAAGTTTATCCTAGGTAACAGTCGTTACTAAACTTTAACCACAGACGAGTGTCCTAGATAAGGATAAATTTGTCCTAGATAACAGTCGTTACTAAACTTTAACCACAGACGAGTGTCCTAGATAAGGATAAGTTTATCCTAGATAACAGTCGTTACTAAAGGACACTCGTCTGTGGTTAAAGAAACTTATCCTTATCTAACACTCGTCTGTGGTTAAAGTTTAGTAACGACTGTTATCTAGGACGACGAGTGTCCTAAATGAGGATAAATGGAGATTTTCTTGAATTACAAAAACATGACTAGTCAGACGTAACTGTCAACTTGTTGACTGCTGAAATATGAAAAACGTTAGCGAAATAACTGGAATTGTTTAGCTTTGTTTACTCTTTTTAAAAAAAATTATAATTCGATATTTTTCGAGTTTAATCAACTTTTTCTCTTAAATTTCAGATCCTCCAAGCGCTCCTAAACTGTCAGTGACCTCCGTAACTTTCTCCTCCATCCAAGTCACGTGGACGTTACAGACTGCTGAAAATACACCAGTTTCAGGTGTTTAAACCTAGTATATGTAAGAGAAATTCTAAAAACAGGCTGTATATATATATGTGTTTGTTAACAAAACCTTGTTTGTTTTTTTTTTAAATAGTGTGTTTATACGTAGCTTATACATTGGTGGATAATGGTTCTTCGTACTCTAAGCCCAAATCTATACGAACGCCCTCTACTACATTTTCTCTGCCATTTTTTGATTACAATGTGAAGACACATCTAGTTGTCGGAGTCTTGATTCTGTTATTCTGGACACGTGCAAGTTGTCGTACACTCGCTCGATCTTGAAACATGCAAGTTGTTTCATTTTAATCTGGACTTATTTGTTATGTATGGAAACATGCAAATAAGATCGATTTTAAGTTAATTACCCAAACTAAGGGGTTACTTTAAACACTTTATATTCATAAAAGGACTGTAACTTTTAAAGTGAGCTTATGTTTCTTGTAAAGTGTTTTTCCTTAACTAACCGCTGAACTCACAAAACTGTATGACTATTTACTAGTGATTATGATACTGTAGTTTTAGTAACACAAATATATTGTTACGACAGCGGAAGTTGCGTGACGCTGGGAGCATGCGCGCTGGAATTTCTAGAATTATCGGGGAAACCCGCGAATCTCATATTATTTGCTAGACGCCCTCTTTTTTAGTATATAAGCCTAGCAAAGATAGCCAGCGATATAGGCAGATAGATAGACTGGGGAGATAGATAATTGAGTCAAGCGAACAGTAGGCACCGTA